TCATTGTTTCCATTCTCAGAAACATTCTTTGATAATTTGTCAGTATCATTATTTTCTTTCTGATCAGGGGTATACCTTTTTGGAGGTTTAACTTCCCTATTACTTTTTCTGTAAGACATGGTTCTTTTTTAGTTTCGGCACCAATATTAAATAATTGTCAATTATCAAAGTCAAAATAAGAATAGTCAATTTCAGTACAACATTTCAATCACTATTTATTTACCCATCATTTTAACATTATTAAAAACATGTGACATTTAATCTTCACAAATAAGTTATAGCACAAATATAAAGATTGATCAAAGGTCATACATATATATGAAATTAGTCATTAACAGTATATTTATATACATGATGACAAAAAAGTCTGGAAATGGTTTAATATCTTTTTAACTAAATCCGTTAGAAAATTCAAACCTTTCACATCAACTTACATGTATAAAACTACTTTTTCCAAGAATTTCATTTCGCAGGTATATTCCGCAAGAACTTTGGACTGCCGCCATTTTGTAACGGATGAACCTTTTTTGACGCGGTTTCCGGCAATGAACTCCACTTGACCAGACCTTTAAAATGATGTGCATATCAACCTATGCATACATTAAGGATTATGTACCTACTCCTCATGGGCCGTCCCCTGGTGAAGGTAAAAAAATGATAATTCTTGCAAAAAGTAGTTTTCATACATATAAGTTGATGTGAAAGGTTTGAATTTTCTAACGAATTTTGTTTAAAAGATATCAAGCCGTTTCCAGACTTTTTTGTCACCCTGTATAATATGTCATCCCCTTAACAAATAAATTAATGTATAAATTATTATAACATTACACATAGTATAAATAAGTCAACCCTACGTATGTCATTTCATTTCTATACAATTTTCAAATGCTGAATTTATGTCACAGACTCTGAATGTTTACAGCTGTTACGTTAAGCAAATGGTTTTATACCAAAAGCTAATCTAGAATGTTAGCGTCGGCTGCTAGACTTTTTAAAAATTAAAACTTAATTTGTAAAAAACAGAAACCCTAAACTAAAATTATGGCTTCGACATTCCCTAGTTCTCAAAATTATCTTTCTTTTAACACAAAAGCCAAGAAAATCCGTCAAGTGGTTGATTCAGAATCGTGAAATTAAAAAACCCTGTCACATTTTAATATACTAGGCGAAACCCATCGAAATCGAGGGCTACTTTCAAGGCTCAGGCTAATTCATCTAACTGCGATAAATTGAGTGAGAGTATACATATTTTGATCATTTAGCATTGTTTAAAGAGTAATAAGTGTAAAAATAATAATGATATTAATTGCTTTAGTTACCAAATGTGGTTGATGTGGTTGATGTGGTTGGTTATTCCATGAATAAAATATTTCCCATGCCGTACGTCATCAGAGTTATTATTCGTTTGTTAACTGGTATCTCTTCTTCTGGAAGAACCTTTAAAAAGTATTAAAGTTGTATTTGTGGATCTCTTGTAGCTAAACAATCTACCTGTTCTGGTTTTAAAAATTGCTAAATTTTTTAGTAGTGATTTCTATATGATCCGCGATTTTACCATTGTACAGTAAAGCAGATTAATCTATGATTTTATTTGAGAAAACAATTCTGTTTGTTGAGAAGACACGTTCTAACTTCGAAGGGTTGTATATCCGTTACAGTGTAAGTTTAATATTTCATTCGTCTTTGTCGTGTCAGTTCATAAAATCGTACTTCCGTGCCAATGAATAACCCTCTAGCATAGTTTTGAGAAATTGGTTGTGGGGTTACTGTTAAAGCTGGAATTCCTTGACATGGGGAATGTCAGTTAGTTGTCTCGTCTCAGCCTTATACATACATAAAGTTGTCAATATAATCTCTCTACGGAAAGTTAGGGGCCTACTCGTTTATATGGTCATGTGGCTTCTTTTGCAATAAAATAATGCAAATGAAATATCAATGTGGCATTTCAAAAAAGCAAAATAAATACTGTAAATTGGCTGTTACCTATGTAAATATTGACGTTTACATGCATTGTTAATCAACGTCTTTTATAAAGGCTGATGTGATATATTTTAAAAGGAATACAACCTTTTCCGTCATGACAGTAGCTGCTTAAATGCAGCCAAAATTTCGTATAATTTTCAATAATGTTACCAACCCAGTGGGCCATGGCAATGAATACACTAAGTTTGTGTATTCATTGGCCATGGTCCGTAATATAGGACACTACACATGATTTGTACAGATAGGCACCATTTTAGGTTTATGCAAGGTTTCTGTGTTTGGATGTTTTTAGACACAAGAACACAATGATCTTCTTCTGCAGATGAATAATCTGTTGGAGAAATATAAGCCGAATTATAAATGTCACAATTTGAGTTAGAGCATTTTTAACTATATGGGCAAGTTATAGTACAGTATTTTGTAGGCTTTTTTTCTTTTTGTAGGCTGCTGCTCAGTGCACTTTAAAAATATATTTTTTAGAGATGAATTAAATGGTTTTTGTTAATGAGTAGCGCTTGTAAACATGCACAACCCTTTTCATTAGTCTAATAACATTCAAAGGCACTCAAAGAGTTCAAGTTCTTATTTGTATACATATCTATATTATGTTTTCATTAAGCTGAATTAATACATCGAATTAACCTCTTTGAAAAGTCTGCAGTAAATTGCAGTTTTCCAGCTTAATGACTTTCTAAATCATGCACATATTTCTACACAAATATTGTAAAATGTATTATCCAGTTGCTGTAAAATACTATTAATTTCTCAAATTGAGGACACGGCTCATATGGGCAACGTGCCCTTCTGCACTTGCATGATTTTGTATTGTATTACACAATGGAAGATTTTTCCGATGATTTAAAACATGTATGACAATAATCACATGAGCCTATGATGATCTGTATAGAATATGTAAAATGCAGGCAAAAGTGGTGAAAAAGGCAGACACTAACTCGTACAACAGATATTAGATAGTTCAATAAGAAATAATTGTAAGAGTTACTGTGATAAAAGGATTTTCCAGTGATTTTGTAATGGAACGTTATTGCAAAACATGACATGATACAGAAGAAAATCTATTTAAAAACAGAAAATAACATTGCAAATACTTCTTTTGGACAATTCCCTAATTCCCAATAAATGTGTGTTGTTTGAAATACAAATTTAAAAATTAACAGCTGTTTGATTAAAAAGTATTATCCTCTTGGTCAAAATGTAAACAAATTTGTGGAGGGATCTTTAAAGGCTTCTGGGGTAGAGCCCAAAGATAATTTAGTGCGTTTTTCTTTTGATAACTCATCTACAGACCAAGACCTTTCTTTGGACACCTCTACCAAGTTTCTACGCCCAGCCGTTCTCTTAAATTAGTGGGGACAAAGTTTCAAATTAAATATTTCGATTCCCCCATGTTAGTCTTAAGGGGGAAACCCCAACTTTGATGGCCTGTGGGGCGAAGCCCGAGGACTTTTATTACCGGAATTGATGAAAGGGGGTGTCTACACAAAAAATACTTAATTTTGACACATCGTTTGTAAAAATCCGTCCATTATTAACGGAGGAGTAGTGTTTCGTAGATATATAGGATATGATATGAATGACGAATGATGAGTAATTTTGTTCACGTATGATATATAGGATATGATATGAATGACGAATGATGAGTAATTTTGTTTTTATTCAAAGTGCTTTTGATAGTTAAAATAAGCTTAAATCCCTCTTTTTTGTTTCAAAACTGCAACATTTTCCGGGGAAGGGCCCACAGAAATCAGGGAAATTGTTTTAAATCTCCCAAACACACCTAAAGACTAATGAGTAATTTTTGGGGGGTGCAGGACCGTATTTCTAAATAGGCTAAGTAGGCTGCAGCCTAGAGCGGCAAAATTTAGGGGCGGCAGATTTTAAAAATTAAAATATTTTTTTTTACATGCAATATTATTTTCCTTACAAATTCAAGTATACATGTCATTTAAATAAAGCTTTTAGAATATTCATACATTCTTATTTTCTATTTCGACATACGTATTATTACACAATCTAATATGTACAATCGCATTGCGCCAACACGCAGCGAGCGGCGATCTGGTGTTGGCAACACTGGAAGCTGGCGACTCTCAGGCGGGCTGCAGCTGGTGGATGTACGACCAGGAGCGGCAGCCACGACGCCGAAGTGACAGCCGACAGCCCCCTCCCCACCACTGACACTTAACCATACAGTCAGTCCGTGGTACAAGAAAGCCTCGCAAGAAAGCCTTTTAAATACTGTATACACAATAAATTAGTTATCAGTTTTGTTAATCGCTCAATGAAATACTTGTATTGGACTATACACGAAGTTTTTTTGTCGTTGTAAATATTTCAACTAATAAACCAGTGATTCAAATAATTTCTTCAACTTAAATTTCACCTTGCAGAACTATCTAAATTTAATTTAACAATTTTCCAGTATTAAAAGATATTCAATAGCACAGAAATGTATATATTTCTTATATATAAGAATGATCTCAAATGTATTTTATTTGACGTAACATTAACATTATAAGTCCAAAAATTTATGATACATGTTATTTTGTATAGTATACAGGTGGAGTTGATTGGTATGATTATATAGTAATAGTATTCGTAGGTTATATTTTATGTTTGCACGTGTATTTTCGATCGCCGACTACCGAGCGGTACTGTGCAGAACGGCAAAAATTAGTCTGTGCGCATGAATAACCAAATATTACCACGAGGTAGAGTGGGGGTAATTTTCCTATAAATATGTTTTCAGCAGTAAATATATACATATATAAGGGGCGGCATGAGGATTGGTAGCCTACAGGCGGCATAAAGATAAATCCGGCCCTGGGGGGGTGGGGATGGATAAGAGATATTTTGCAAACTGTATATTTTTCCTTTTATATCCACATTTGTCCCATGTTGTTGGCATATGGGGATTGGAAAACGTCCCCAGTATTGAAGTGTCTAAAAGAGGGAGTTTACCCCCATATTTTTGTACATGAAAGTGTGTTTGCCAGGTAACGCAGCCTGGGCCCATGTGTGTGCCAAGGACAGCCTACTAGACAGCCCGACTGCTGTTGGAGGTCTCTCAGTGTTTGTCACAGATGACTCTCCCATCACCGACGTCACCAAGTTCTGTGTCCACCTCACCACCTCAGACCAACGCTCTCCTTACAAACACTCTTGGTGGTCCGTGTCACAACTCAAAACTTACAAAACTTCTGCACTGTTCTCTGTATCCTTGGTCATTGATATTTACAAGGCTTGTCTATAAATTAAGGTCTCCAATAAGTTTCTATCATGTGTAAGTGAGCTAACTCAAATCTACTGCTCTTCAGCCAGTTTCCACTCCTAAGCGGTAATTCTTATCATAAGAGCCAATAACGGTGTGAAAAAATCAACAATTCTGCCAAGTATGAGTCATGTCAACTACTTTTGATATCATTGCTGGTTGGCAGATGCGTACGTAGGAACACCTTTAGACCTAGACAAATGTGAATGAGTAGCTTATGGAATGTGCAGATTGCCGTATGTGTATTTTTGGAGCCTACCAGTAGACCGACAAGATACTTGGTCGTCTGGCCACTAGACCGTCTTTTTAAAATAAATAGATAAATACTGAAAACCAGTATGTCGACAAGTTATTTCTTCCTCAGTCCAGTTGACCGGCCTGTAAAACTAAATTATTATATGCGGGAAACCAACTGCTCGTCAATCGACCCGACCGACAAACCACTTTCTCTTCTTTTAAGTGGGGATAGGGGACAGAGGGGGAGGAGCTAACCGGGATTACCCAGGAGTGTGAGGCGCTTCCCATGGTCGAACCACGTCGCTCGAGGCTAGAAGCCAGTATTGCCAACCGAAAGTACTAGCTCCGTCGAGCAGTACACACGCGGCGTGTTTTGTTATGCAATCCGCCGTCCGAAGTACTGTAGTTATTGGCGCGCTATTGTAAGTTTCTGTGGTGTTATTAATTAACCATATGTTTAATGTTTATGAGATCAGATGAACTGTTTATTTATTATTGTTGTTTACCTTTTGTTTTGAGATGAGTTATTGAAATTACTAGATAAAATACTGTTCCTAAAATGTTGATTTTGATTTAATAAATAGTTTCTTCACATGGTGTCAGGTAGAAATAAATATGGGAAGCAGAAATAAAAGAACATCTAAAAGAAATTTGAAGAAAAGGGATTACTTACAAAACGAATTTGATCTTGAATCAAGTGAAGATGAGTCTAGGCCTTGGAATCAGGTTTGTTTGAAGAGCGGTTACAGAGATAAAACCTCAACTGAAGCTTCGAGAGTTACTTCAGTGTCAGGTATGCAAATTCAAATTTCTCCACCTGAAGCTTTTGATTTTCAAAATCCCGCCTTGTGGCCTCGTTGGATGAAAAGGTTTGAGAGGTACAGGATTGCTTCAGAGCTCTGCTTTAAGCCTGACAGTCAACAGATAAGTATGCTCTTGTACACTCTAGGCGACAAGGGTGAGGATCTTTTCCGTACCTTTGGTATTTCAGAAGAAAATAATCTTCAGTATGAAGAAGTAGTTAAAAGCTTTAATGATTTCTTAAAAGTCAAATGTAACATTGTGTATGAACGTGCCAAGTTTCTTAAGAGAAGACAAGGGGCCGATGAAACAGTGGATTCTTTTATAAATGACCTTCATAAATTAGCTGAAACGTGTGAATTCGGAAATTTGAAGGAAGAGTTGATACGTGATTTGATTGTAATTGGAGTCCATGATTCCAAACTTTCAGAGACTCTACAAATGGACGATTCACTAACTTTAAGCAAGGCTATTACCAAAGTTCGGCAATCCGAGTCTGTTTTGAAACAGCAAAATGTAGTAAGAGATAGAGCTAGTGACATATCAAATACAATTAGCCAAGAGGAAGTAGGAGTAGTTAGCAATAAAGTAAACTCTTTCAGAAACAAGTTAAGATGTAGTAAATGTAACCTATTTCATAAGTATAGGGAGTGCCTGGCATATAAAGTTGAGTGTCTTAGATGTGGTGTCAAGGGACATTTTGCTAGGTGTTGTATAAATGGACAGAAAACAATACGGGAAGTTGAGGACAAAAAGGAAAATGAAACTTAAAATTCTCGTCTAGGTGAAATTCAAGTTAAGAAATATGGCAAAGAATGTCCTGTAGTTGAAATAGAAATCAATGAATGTAAAGTACTGTTTAAAATGGATACAGGGGCCGATGTATCAGTCATAGGAGAACATCAGGCTCGATCCCTCGGTCTCCAATTGCAATGTTGCGATCGTGTATTGTATGGACCGGGCAAAAATAGGCTCAACATTCTGGGTGTAGCTAAGGTTCTTCTCAAATACAATGACCGAGTATTGCCAGAAGATTTGTACGTGCTAGGTAAACAAAATTCCCCGTTGCTTAGCCAAAATGCATTACTTAGTTTAGGTCTGATAACCTTCAATGTCAATTTGATTGATAAGGATGATGTTGAACAGTTATGCCCAGAGGTGTTCAATGGGATGGACAGTCTAAACAGTAGTTACAAGATTAAACTACAAGATAATGCTCAGCCTTATGCAGTAATGTCCCCCAGAAGAGTGGCTGTATCTCTATACCAACCAGTACGAGAAGAGCTAGATAAAATGATAAAAGAAGGTGTTATTGAAGTCATATCAGAACTAACAGAATGGTATCGTGTAGGAGGTAGAATAAGGTTATGTGTAGATTATACATACGTGCAAAGAGAACATTTACAACTACCATCAGTTGAAGAATCCTTAGCTAAGATTGAAGGAGGCAAATATTTCAGTAAACTGGACGCAGCTAATGGATTTTGGCAAATACCTCTTGATGAAAGTTCATACAAGTTAACAACTTTCATTACTCCATTTGGAAGGTATTATTTCAAAAGGTTACCATTTGGAATTTGTTCTGGCCCAGGGGTATTCCAAAAGAGGATAAGTCAGATACTAGCAGACATTCCAGGAGTGATTATCAGGCTGACGACATATTGGTTGTAGGGAATACAGAAGAGGAACACGACACTAGAGTAAAGCTTGTGATTGAAAGATTGTCAGAAAATGGAGTGACTCTTAATAAAAACAATTGTTTATTTGGTCTCACAAATGTAACATTCCTTGGACATTTGATAACTCAAGATGGTATAAGCCCAGACCCAGAAAAGATTAAGGCCATTTCTTCTATGAAGGAACCCACTTGTGTTTCAGAGCTGAGACAGTTTTTGGGTATGGTGATGAAATTTGTACCAAACCTATTAGAACTGACTGACAGCGCCTTTACGCTGTCTATTGAAGAAACAAAGTTTGTGGGTATGGGGGGAATCCCAGGACAAGGCGTTCAAATTGTTAAAAGATGCAGTGACAAAATCCCCAGTGTTGGCTCCTTACAAAAGTAATGCTGAGATTAGAGTTACGGCAGATGCATCTTCATATGGCATTGGGGCGGTAATGGAGCAGCTGCATGGTGAGGTGTGGAGACCAGTAGCACATGCATCCAGAAGTTTGACTGATGTTGAAACTCGCTATGTAGTGAAAGAATATTAGGAAAATCGACCTAACAAATTCGGACTAAGTGAAAACTTTGCACAGTTGTTTAGTAAGCCTAAATAAATACAATTTCAAAAGTCCCCATATAATCCCTGCTGTGCTTCAGCCGCCATCTTGGAAAATGGCGGCCAATTTTCTCTTTTTTTACAATATTTTACAAACTATTGGTATTAGAGAATTTTTGTAAATACAAAAGTTAAAGAACGTCTAAAAATACATATTTTTTATATTACAAGGTTTGCTCTATCTCTAATGGTTATTGAGATAAATAATAAAAGTTAGTATTAAATAAAAAATTCCCATGTTTATGGAGGAAAATAAAATTGTTGCAGTTTGCTTATTTATAGTTATATTTTTATCAAACTTGGCAAATTTATTTATTTCATAATAAGCTATTAATATTTAACATAAATATACACTTTAGTACCCTCCCTATAATAGCAGTAAACCTAGTACTCGTTAAATTTAAAGTTATTTAAATGGGGAATCTATCTTACATTTTTAGGATATATTTTAGTAAATATCCAGTCAGGCAAATACAGGGAGCGGCAGAAATATCTGACGGTTTTCAAGCGAGTACAGTCCGGCAGCCGAGTGGAGGGGGGTGGTGGGGAGCGGCTCATTCTCAAGGCCAAGTGTGACCATTTTAGTCGCCATGGAGCAGTGGACCAGTATACATCGCGCGTTTGCCGTTGAGGCGTTTTTTAAAAATGGCGATTCTGTTGTTGGTACGCAACGTAAGTTTCGGAGGCATTTTAATATGGCTCGTGGGGAACCTATCCCATCCCGAAACACCATCAAATTGTGGGTGGATACCTTTAGATCACAGGATCAACTGCAAAACGTAGGCCTACAGGCCGTCCAAGGCCAGTGAGGACGCCTGAGAACGTGGAGCGAGTGCGACAAGCTGTGCTAACGAGCCCGCATCGCCCGGAGCGTAGACAAGCTGCTGCTTTTGGCATGTCTGATCGCTGTCGGGTGAAAGTGAAGGCCTGAGTGCAATATTCGTCAAATATAGCGATTAGACATGCCAAGAGCAGCAGCTTGTCTACGCTCCGGGCGATGGGGGCTCGTTAGCACAGCTTGTCGCACTCGCTCCACGTTCTCAGGTGTCCTCACTGGCCTTGGACGGCCTGTAGGCCTACGTTTTGCAGTTGATCCTGTGATCTAAAGGTATCCACCCACAATTTGATGGTGTTTCGGGATGGGATAGGTTCCCCACGAGCCACATTGAAATGTCTCCGAAACTTACGTTGCGTACCAACAACAGAATCGCCATTTTTAAAAAACGCCTCAACGGCAAACGCGCGATGTATACTGGTCCACTGCTCCATGGCGACTAAAATGGTCACACTTGGCCTTGAGAATGAGCCGCTCCCCACCACCCCCCTCCACTCGGCTGCCGGACTGTACTCGCTTGAAAACCGTCAGATATTTCTGCCGCTCCCTGCGTTCAGTCATATTGTGTTGAATTCACTTTTCAATCATATTAACAATCATTTTTCTTATTAGTGTTATGATTTAAAGCCTACTTACTATTTTGTAACTACCATGTAACTACTAAAAACTTAAGTGGTACCTACGTTATTACTCCCGGTATATTTTTTTGTCGGTAAATATTAGGAAATTGAACCTTAAAATC